TTGGATTCTTGGTTTCCATTTTCTTCTCTGGGGCAGAGGGAGGGAGGGGAGGGACCTCCTGCTGACACAGCACCTGCTGCTGCAGCGCCCCCACCAGCCCTGAGGATGCAAATGCAGCTCCTCAGTGTGGACATTGGCCAGGGCCTTTGCAGATAAACCAGGCCAAAAAGACTCAACATTTACACCACCTGCCTCAACAAGGTATTGATCTTATCCTCTGTGACAGTCACCTTGTCCTCGTTAAGGATGAGGGCAGAGCAGATGCCAGCTCAGGGACAGAGGCCATGGCAGGCTGCAAGGTGAAGTGAGATCTTCACCCCAAGTGGCCTTAGTTTCCTTGGAAGGACCGAGTACCTTGGTGGCATCTGAGGGGAGAACAAATCATGGTCCTTGCAGGATCTAAAGACACCTTGATTTCTCACTGTGGATCTGAATTTCCAAAACGGTGTTTATTTTTGCCCTCTGTGACGCTGGAGGTCAAAGCCAGGGCCCCGTGCACGTCAGCTGGTATTTAGCAGAGAGAAGTGGTGTGGGGTGGGTAGAGGGGTGGGGATGGAGGGCTGGAGGGGCATGACCGGGCAAGGGAAGGGAGAATCCAAACGTGCCTGTGTCCCTTCAGGCCTTTGGAGGTAAACACCTGGATAGCTGGGGCTCAGTGGCTGGCACGTGGGAGGCCCTGGGTCCCATCCCCAGCACCACATAAAAAAACTAAATAAACAAAATAAAAGTATTATGTCCATCTACAACTAAAAATATCAAAAAAGAAAAAGAAAAGAATAAACACAGCCTCTGCTGCCCTCTGTGCTGGCACAGGGCACGTCAGCCCACACTGGGGGGAGAGTGGCGTCAGGGCTGTGTGGTGCAGGAAGGCGAGTGTCCAGGTGACAGCGGAGCCAGGACTCCAGCCTGGTTTTGTTGTCCTCGGATTCTGTCCCCTCCCCTTTGGAGCCCTCCCCAGCTCTGTGCAGGCACCTCTGTGGCCGCCGTCTCCCCACCGTCTCGCCCTCCCCAGCCGGGAAGTGTGTCTCACTGCCAAATGTGTGCCAACTCTGGGTTCTGTTTTTCTTCTAGAGCAATCCACATCCTTTGGTCTGGGCAAAACTGAAGGGGTTTCCATTTTGGCCTGCAAAAGCCCTGAGGGATAAGGACGGGCAGGTCGATGCCCGTTTCTTTGGACAACACGACAGGTGGGCGTTAAAAACAGGCTTTGAACATGTAGCTTCACCTGAACCTTTGACACTGTCATTGGATAAGAAAAGAGGTGGAGGGTATGGCTATTATTTTTATTATTATTACCATTTTTTAAAAGCTGATTTTTCCTCTTGTTGTTGGCTGGTGTGGCTGTGATTTGTTTACTGTCGTGATACCGACCCTTGATCTCGTAGTGGGAAATGTTTTCCTGTGCTGTGTTAAGCCTGATAATGTGTGGGCTTCAGTTTTTTTCCAGGTACGTTAGAAAATAATCTTACTCTAGTGGTTTTGTTGATCTTACTGGCATCGGAGTGAATTCCCGGGCTATTTTGAGTGCTGCCGTCCTTTTTTATTTTTTTATTTTTCCCGTCATAAATTAAATCTCTGTGCAAATTGCTTTTCAAAATAATGCTTTCAGGGATCAGATGTATTTTCCCAGATTGCCAGTAAATGAATCTCTTATCATCCTGCTGGGTAGTTCCCTTCTGTTCACTTTTCTCTGGAAATTACCAGGGGCTGCTGTTTTGACAGGTGTGAGCCTCCCCTCCCAGCATCTCTGCCCTCCCCATTTCCGCCACACCCTGGGAAGTGCCTTTCAGCTAATAGCAGTTCCCTTCAGGGCAGAGCCCCTGCGCTCAGAACAACAGGTAGACAGGGATGAGCACGTTTATATTGCAGTCCTCTCCTGGCAAGTTCCGTGAGGGTTAAATGAGGCACACGCTGGACCGCCCCTGTCCCTGCAGTTTGGAGAGTGCATAGGGGAGTCTGTTTAAATACATGCAGCACAAATTATACCCCACACGGAATACACAGAAAATGCAGTTTGTATTCTGAAATTTTGCTTGAGGTCTTGCAGATCAAAGAACAGTGTGAATTCCAAAGTAACCCACTTCCTTATTAGGAATCCTGACAGTGCTTTGTCAGGAGACCAGATGGAAATTCCTTGATAGGGCATTGGGTTTGATAGGAGGTATCATATTTGGATTTTAATGGCTCTTGTTGGAAATCTGCTGGAAATTCTTTTATTAAATTTTCATTCAAAGTAGTATACATTTGGAGCCTGCTCAGCCTGGGTGCTGGGTGCTGGGGATGCAGGAGTGAACAGGCAAGCGGACATCATCGCTGGGGAAGATGGGTCACACCCAGGAGTCTGTTGGGCTAGCCATCGCCGTCAGGAGGTGGCGGTGGGCCTGGTGCAAAGGTTTGGGCAGAGTGGGCAGCAAGAGCAGAGGCTCAGGAAGGGAAGGGTGGACCTGGTGTGCGATTAGAACAGGGTGCAGGGAGGAGAGGATGGTGGGAGACCGGATTCCAGGGGTGGGCAGGAGTTGTTGTTCTTATTTGAAGAGCTGGAAGAATCCGTGGCAGCCTGTTGATCCCGTGTCCTGATCAGAGCGTGGGAAAGTGAGCGGTCTTGGTGGTTCAGGATTCCTATTCTGTAGGCTGGCACAGTGTGGGGACGTGCACTGGGATGTAGGTGACAGGGATAGCAGTGCTTGCCCCACATACCAAGTGCACCAGGAGCTGAGTCCATCATCCAGCTCCCTCTTCTGGGACCATCCTGCAGAGACCTCTGGTCCTCCCCTTGCCAGCCATCCGCTGAGAGTGGCTTAGGTTGCGAGAAGGAAGAGCGTGGGCTTTGCTCCCCGGTGGGCAGAGGCTGTCCCCACAGCTCGCAGGTTCAGTCTTTGGTTCTAGGTGGGAGCCGCTGGGAGCCAGGCCCTTTGTGTTAGGTGGCCCTCTGAGTGTCTCTAGTACCCTCTACCCTGCAGAGTGACTGTGTTGCCCTGTTGGTTTGAACTTGGGTGAG